TAACGATGTTTTCTTAGGGAGCTCTAAGTTGTTTTTGATTCAACAGTTTGATTTCATTGGATGAAAATTTGATGCGGAATATAACTGTACGCCTAAACAGGTGTTTGACACCTGTCCCGAATGCCCTTCAGTAGTCTGTTCTTTGCCTTCTAATAGGATATTGATCGGCCGTTTTGAGTTGAACTTCGATCCCGTGCACTCAATGAGGCAAACAGAATACGATCTGCCTGGAGAGTGGAGATTGTCGACAGAGGAACGAAGGCTTCTCCCAGAGTCGAGAGGAAACACTAGATGCCCCCATAGAAACGAACGTGAACTACCGAAAGGAAAACCTAGCAGCCGAACAGTTATTTGGCTACGTAAAACTTAACCTCATCTGGACATTACTACAGCATTTCTATGTATAGTTGATTCAGTGACTGAGAAAGTTAGACCGTACAGTTTCCCGATCATATGCGTGCCAGTTACAACAAGTTAAGCGCAGTGTTGTACTGATGGTTTCCACTAGTTTTCTCACGTGCGCGTTGAAGTGATTTGCCAACACAACAATATGGGAGTTTCTGTTGATTAAAGGTTGAAAATGCATCCTGCTTTGCAAACAAATGGCAAAGCTAGATGAACAGCAGGAAAGGAATGGGCGTTTCCATTGTCGAATCAAATTGTCGAGTTGATGGTAGAAATTGTTATTCTCCACATTGCAAGCGTAGCCAGTTGCGAAATAGACCAATACGACAAAAATCGACTGAGTCCTGAAGCCTATGCAAACAAACTAATTAGGGGAATCTCAGCGACCAGCAAAACATTATACTTTCTGTGAGGACGAAAAGCCGACATCCGGGTTGGTGGACCACTGGTAGTTCACCTAGGGGAGTTGGCTAAAAACCCTGATTCCAAACCAACCAAGAAGACGCGTACGAACCACACACCCCTGCCCGGTTGTGACAGTGGTCAACGGCTCGATTGGGCCCCTTGAACGTTTGACTCCGTCCAAAGGGCGTATGACCCGATGAACTGGACACCGGCTCCCAACGGATTGCGGTTTTCGCACACCGCCTCGCTGCCTTGCGAGTTAGGCTTTGGCGAGCCGAAGGATCCGGCTGTGAATTCCACAAGAAAATTCACCTGCCTTGGCCTGGGCAACTTGGCAGTATTCCGCCCATATGTAAATCATGGAGCGTATTCCTTTTTCATAAAGATCACTGTACCATGATTTGTTTGGCACACAGTCTGGATTTAGATGTGTGAAAATAGAATAATAGAAATACTTCCTGTTCAGCTCAATTCCCATTCCGTTCTGATTAGTTCAATGACCGAAACGATAGAGAGAGCAGCTGTGGACATACACCCTAGTATACAATGGTAGTCGACCGCAAAAATGTCATCGAACTTTAAGTGATCGTATGAAAATATCTTGGTAGAAATGGATGGATTCATGGTCGAACCAACAACTCACAAGCTGATTGTTAAGGATGGAATAGCAAAGCTGAGTGCATGGAAGCAACGCATCATGGAATATTTGGCGAATAATCAGAGAAAAGTAACGAAACTTCGAAACAAACGAACCATTAACTCTTTTGCCAATTCTTTGCCTTGTTCTTCGGTGATGATGCGCTGATGAACGAGATCGATCTTGTTTCCTGCCAAAATCATTGGGTAAGATTCGCAGTCCTTTGCACGCAGAATTTGGGTGTGGAAACGACGAACTTGTTTGAAGCTTTGCGGATCCGTAACAGAGAAAACAATGATGAATCCCTGTCCTCTCCGCATGTATTGTTCTCGCATGACACTGAATTCGTCCTGACCAGCGGTGTCCAAAACTGCAGGACCGCGAAACGAGAAAAACAGAAAGTGAAGTAGGGTGTTAAGGTGTACCAACATGTAACCATCATCACCTTGGTCACCTCATCCTGCCAATACTATAAGGCGGAAGTCAATTTTCCCGTCACGAACGGTGCGTAGAGAAGTCAGAAACAATCATATAGTCCCTTCTGATTGCAGTAAGCACCTGTACAGACGGAACGAAATGGTCATGGATACTTTGTGCCAACCCCCGTTTTTGATTTCTCTACTGAAAAACAATAGAATTTAATCACTACGATCCAATCATCAAAAACGGGCGGTAATACGACGGAATATAACTGAAAAGGTATTAAAACCCGGATTGTGACTTGAACAAAATTAGGTCGAACTTCCTGATTTAGAGCCATGTGATCGAACTGATATGCTTGGATGATGAGGTTGTGTACGGAACAGTGACGCTCGTGCATCTATTTATTTTCTGCGCAAATCGAGTCTAGTTTTGTTTGTGTCTTCTTCAATAGTGTTCGCGGACATTTAATTGTTCTAGACACTACTTCAGTATGGTTGTCTCAAAGACCGCATTCAAAACTATTGTACCCTGATTAAGCTTCCAGAGTGTGAACATAGGGTTAAACAGATGCGCCACGTGAGGCCATTGCTCGTGATAAGGCATACCTGCCATGAAATATGCAACCTGAGCTGCAGACATTCTTACTTTTGACACAATCATTCGAACGCAATGCGACTGTGTAAGAAAACAGGGAAACTACTCCAAACCTTCTTGTGCTGTACGTGAACAATTATTCTTCCTACCAAAAAGCATAAAGTGTAACCCACCCGTCCAGTCGAATCACTGTAAAAGGATGCGTAATCAGCCGTTCAATGATGCCCAATGAAAAAAATCTGTATACGAAAATCAGTTTGCGCGCTCCAGAAACGAAATAAGCAAAACACCGGACACGGATTGAATCAAACGAATAAGCCACGTTATAGAAGAAACATCAACCGCAAACAGTCTAAAAACAAGATTGAGACTAAATAGAGTTTGATAACTTAAGCGCGACGCATCCAGGATATTTCGAGTCCATTCACATTCTTCAAACACCAGATCTCATCGAAAGAATTTGGAGGTAGGCATTTTTGTTGTCGTCCTGATCAATAACGTGATTAGCCCAGTGGGCCTTATGTGGTTCGTCATTCCAAGTCTCGGGGCTTATGTTGCCGGTTTTTATCAGTGAATAGTAGGTCTACGCAATTATGGGGCCTAACCCTTCGGCCGTTATTCAAACAAAATGTGTAATAAAAAGTAATCTTTATGAAAGGCCGACTTCATTTGATCTGTGGAAAGCGAGCTAACAAAATGCTTGCTAGTCGAAGAAAAAAAGAAGAGATCAGAATCAAAATATGCCAAAAGCTCATCAAACCCAAACAGTGTCAGTTGATCCCTGATGCCGAAATGAGGACATTGAAATCGCTGAGAGAGGACTCCGGTATTACCATCGTTCCAGCAGATAAATGAAATGCAAATGGTAGTTGGACAAAGCAGAATATACAGAAAAGATGAAACATCTCATTGAAGACAAAGGAACGCATCGACCACTCAACAGGAGGCCCATGAAAGAGATGAGAGAGAAAACTAACCAAATCTGGTTACAATCATAGATGAGGTCAACATAGGCAGTTTATCTTTGCTGTAGCATCGGATGTTTGGTGACGTAGAGAACACACATCTTGGCTGTGCGGCACTGAATGTAGATTTTACTGCTGAGGATAAAACTCTACTGACCCCCTCAGTGGCGGTATCACCTTCGAATGGAAGTGTTATAAAAAGCATTTTCTTCTGCGTTTTTTGGCAGTTTTGTTGGCTTATTCTGTCCAGTCCAATTACGGTCGATAAACTTCTCAAGATAGCCCTTTTCTAGTAAGGTTCTCCTCACTAGTTCAAGTTCCTCCTTCTGAACAGATGTGCTTTGCTCTCTGCAGTAGACTGCAGACTGACGTAACCACTTTGGTTATGTGATCCAAACTACGCACAAATTTTGAGTTCTCTTGGGCTCATTGCCGAACACATGACTCATCCACCTTTCTGTTCGTCCGAAATCCTCCAGTAGCAACTGAGATCGTTTCTCTTCAACTGTAAGGATTGAGTCGAACAGCACGAACTATCAGGTGCAATTTACTCAATCTCGTGCCTGGGCTGCAACCAACATTCCATCGATGAAACAAGCAAACAACCACGCACTCGCCTACAGAAACACAAGCTTGCTGTCAGACGCGCTGACTGGAGACCACGATGGATAACGGAGAGGTGGTGGCGAAAGTTAAGAAGGAAGAGCGAATAAAGCTAGAAGCTCTACATTCGGTCCATTCGTTCAACCGTCACGCCGTGATAAGCAGACATTACGTCACACTCGCAAAACCCGTGACGATTTTTGGACTTAGGGAGACACAAAGAGCACATAAGCGCATGGAGAGACGGCAATCCTATTATTTCATTTACGTTTGATAACCAGTCCTAGTTTGGATCGAACCGTTACATTCTCTCGTGAAATATATACTTAAACCCGGCAACAAAAGTATTACAAACACGCCCTTAGACTTCACACACCAAACTGGACTTTAAAACGCGTTCAGTAAACACCCCGAGTTGGTATTTCGGAATGGCAACTGACAACCAAGATACGTCAGTGGTTGACAGACTCATACCACTCCCAATGACCTTCAAAGAACAAATACATCCAAATAGGCTATAAGCCATTGCCACCCATGATGCGATGGAAGATGGTCACTTATAACGAGGAATCCAGACGTGATGCCCTTCGTGGGATTAGTGTCAGCAGACATAAGATAGCCGGAACCGTGTCCCAATCACATTGGGACGGAAACAGCTAAAAAAATCAACCGTAAACAGTTTGGGGGCTAGATAAGGCTCTCGAGGAAAGGTAGGTGCAAATTGATAAGTATGACCTCAAACTCCGCGAGTCATGCATTGAAGATGAAAACGGTACTTCGGCGCGAACGGTACAATGAACACCTGAAATGGTCCTGAGAAAATACAAGGTGTATAGCTCTAACGACTATACAAACAGAACGACTATTATTGCTAAATGAGACTTGTGCAACTTGGATAAACGAATAAAACTTCGACTGCTTTAGCAACAAAGGGAAATTTAATGGACCGGATGCATGAACCTACTGCCGGCATGATCTGTGACAAGAAGAGTGCTTCAGTGAGCGGATTAGCGATCTAAATCCCGTGATTGTACGGGGTACCTCACCGAACAACGGCCGAAAGCGCTATACTGCGCGCGATGCAAGATTCTGTTGCATACACTCGCGCATTGGAGTGGTACCTAATGCCAGCAATGATATCGGATAATCATCCAGAGGCCATTTTCCGGCATGATATCACCGTAGTTCATTACCCGCATTTGAAAGTGCAGGTTATCAGTTCGCAGCTTCAAAAAATGGTGTGGCCTGCGTTCAGCCCATGTTTGGGGTGGTGGGGACACAGTGATTTAGTCGCCTTCACATGCGTGCTTTGGACCCTGTGGTCTGAGGTTTGAGCTCGGCCATCATCATCCAACCTTGGTGGTAGGCAGCTGCGCTATCGTCCGGTTCAATACCACACCTAACCTATCGGGGCCTTATGTGGATCACCAATCCGAGTTCCGGGGCTTAGGTTACCGGTTTTCATCACTGAACAGCAGGTCTTCGTGACTATGGGGCTTTCCCCGTCTGCTGTTCATTACAAGAAAGAGTTTGGTAAAAAAAAAATGAAAAAAAAACATTTGAGCTTTTCTGACCAGAATGGTGTACCAAATCTACAGTTTACACCAAAACACACCAATTAGAGGCATTTTAGCTAGGATGTGTAATAATATCGACATGAACATGATTCCAAATCTTATAGCGAACAATAAAGTGGATTCAATGGGTAAATTCCATGAGGGGCGGTGCAATACTTTTGTTGCGGTTAGCAGCTTTGCTGTATTGCTCGATGCGCCGTCCTATACCCTCGAACTTCAACCTTACCCCTTCATCAGACTAGTAGCATTCACTTGAAAAAATTGTTTGTTATTCGCCGGTTTGTTGTTCAATACCTCGTAGTTACCGCACTACTATTTCTTTGAAGCATTTGCTTTCCACGAACAATGAAATCACTAAGGCTCCGTACTTCAACCAACCCGCTTTCTTCTATTTATCAACAGCTTTTTCTCAAAAACCAACAATCCCATTCACTGACTGGCCGATGCCACCCAATCATTCTCCTTCTGACCCCCACCATCCGTCAGGTCAATACCAATATCAATTACGACCGCAGTGTCCTTACATTTCCAGATTGTACAACCATTAACCACACATATTCATGCGTGGAGAAGCTCAGTGGTCTAAGGTTGCAAATAAATTGAGATGCACGAACGCCACTGTCTGCGACACCCAGCCAAATCACTCAATGTCTCTAACCATCGGTTACGATCATCCCGAGGACCCCAGCCAGGGAGCCCAACAGGACTTATGTGACCTAGTCTCCTCGTGCCAGGTCTTAGCTTGACCACCCTTGGCTTTTTTCCACTCGGTATCTGCTTCGGCGAACATCGCTTGCCGTGGTTACCTATCTGGTGACATGCCTAACACCACGGTCAAGAGTGACGCTCATATCGGCATGGCGAATAGTGCGACAAGTGATGGAGCAATGATGATGAAGCGCTGGTTGCAATTTCATGCATAATGGCTCACAAATAAGCGGGTTGAACTCTTCCCACTTTCACCAACTCTTCTTCGATCATGCACAATGTCAGAACTCCGCCGTATTCTAAGCGACAATGGATTACTGACACAAAACAGTTTGAACGCCTGTTTCGGCACAGGCTTAAATTAGCGACGAATCGCAAGTAGACGCACAAACCTTGTAGGCGTGCTTTTGCTTTGAGGGACGACGACCTTATCACCCCGAGATCCCTGTCGCAGTCAATGGCCCAGAGAAGGCGATCTTGAATTGAGTAAGGTGAGGTATAGTTACCAAAATCTAATCTCATGCGCACACATCTGCGGATGTAAATCGGTAGCGCACTGATGCCTTTCTAGTTGGACAGTCTATCTAAACCTCTTCGCGGATTTCCTAATTCACCCGACGGGTGA